GCTGAATATCTGCCTCGTGAGAAATTGACTGAGAAGCGTGGCTTGGAGGCATTGTAGGCAAAGGTGTGGTGGGTGCGCAAAGTTGGTAGGGTGACCGACTCGCTTGCCTGACCGACTCGCTTATCCGTCACGTTAGGGATATATTTGTATACATGACGAGCTGACCCGCACTCGTCCTAGGACTCATAACTGGGTATTATGCACACACAAAGGCATATTACAAGCAAATAAAAGATGCCTCAGGCACAAACATCGCTTAGGCAGTGAAGCTCCTCGCCTTGACCAATCGTGCGGCAGCCTTGCCAGCCATCTTGCTAGTGACGAACTTGGCCGCCTCATTCGCATTTGCGCCATACGACAGATGGGGTGGCAGAATAATAGCCTGACCAGCGCAAATAAGATCGCCAGTTGCACAGATGACCTTTGTGTTTGCAGCAGCGACTTTGCCGACAGCCTGGCCGTTGTCTGGGTCGCCGAAGATGACGGCGCTGGAGACAAAGGCAGAGTCATCGGCGCTGAGCATGGCAGCTGCATTGTGGACGAGTTGACCTCCTTGACTTCAGGGTTGTTAGTATACATCTCTATGACCTTACTAAACCACGAATAATGAGAAGAAGAAAGGCCTACGAGTATCCTGCCATGACCAGTGCAGTATCTGGGCACTTTGCCTTGACTTGTCCAACCATCTGTGCCATCAACTTGCTACCACCGGCGTCACCACCAACAAGGAAGCCAGGCACGTCTGCTGGGTACTCGATACCCTGGACGGCTACGTCTCCGCCCATCATTGCGCCGACGGCAGTGACGAACGGCGGGCCTGCGACGGTACCCATGTTGCCAATCTCAGTAGTACCACGGGCGAAGAGAATGGTCATGGCCTTGCATGCACCGCCATTCTTGACATCGTTTTGAGTGGACGATATAAGAGCGGCCGATGCGGCCGTCGGGAGAAGAAAAAGGACTGACTTCATATTGATATTCGTGTGTATTGGATAGTTGGTTTCCTAGGGTGTGAGTTGAATATTAAATCCTGAATAATATTAAATAAATAAGATAACTGGACAAGTGTTCCTGTCTAGAAAGAAGGTCAGATGGTGATGAGGCTCTGGTCTAATCTTCCAGGGCCTATCCTCCCTTCTTATAAGATAGCCTGCTGCATCTACATTTGAAGCTGCCGAGGCAAATGCGATAGTCCAAGACTTTTCGACTCGTGATATACAAGCAGTCATGTTTCCAGTTGCCTTCCAAGAAGTCATCAAACATCATGCCGCTCTTCAAATAGCTCATTCGATAGCTGCCAGTCTGTTCTTGAGACATATCCTACGAGTACTTCCCTGTCGAGTGAGGCTCCCTGGAACCATCCTCAGTCTGGAGCTTAGAGCGGTAGGACTGCAGGTTGGCAGTTGTAACGGCATCGCTAGCGTGCTTTGTGGTATGTAATGCCGGAATTTGGAGCGCCTTGTTTGTATGATGTGTAGCATGGGTGGAGGAGGTAAAACAGGCACAAGGTCAGTAAGCTCCACAAGTTCCATTCCGTGTGGAATAGGTGGGATCAATTGGCAAGATTCTATGGTCTTATGGTCCAATAAACGCGATCGCTAGCATGACGGTGAACAATGTACCTGGATGAACTCTGAAAACCTCGCCAAACCCTATATCAAGAAGACTTATTAGCTTCTAAGAAACCATTCAAGACTTTGCTGTAGCGTTAGCAACCTCGGCATGTGGCTAAAGTAGTGTGCCACGCGACTTAGAGCTGTCACGGGGGTCGTTCAACAGTAGCGGTTTCAGCCAGTCGTTCCACGTTTTCAGCTTTCGGATCAGATTGCGTTTTACAACAGAGCATGTGTACATAAGTAGTCACTCAGGTACACGGAAGTATCAGCGTCCGAGAGTGATCTGCCGGCCTTGTTGGCGTGGTGGAGCCTGTGTTTTGGATCTGCGAGGCTTGGTGAGCTTGTTCAGGCGACGAGGCTGCGCGTACCACTGGAGACGCGGTCTTGTGTAAGATCGATGGTTCAGAGGCATCAAGGTTTCGAGACACTGGAATCAGAGCCTAGTTATAGCCCTATTTCAGAAGGCGGGTGAGCTGTAGCGCGATGCGGTGCGACGCAATGCAATGCTACTAGCGTCTGTGGGGGTTGATGAGGGCAGAACAACGAGCAGCGAAGCGCATTCACCTTGGTTGCATCGTCTGAATAGCTTACAAAGCAAAAAAAGGTCGCATGTTGCCAAAAATGTTTCGGCATGCATTAATTTGGGATATCGGCAAGGATGGAAAGGCAAAAGGGCGTAATCGCCCGCTTTGGCTTAGAAATAGAGGATGCTGTTTTATGCGCTAGTGAGGAAAAGTATAGCCTAACTGAGCAGGTATCCATCCCACTGGGTAACGAAATGGAAGTTAATAAAGTAGTAATCGATAGCGAGATTGGGATTCTCTAGTTCATGATACCTGATCTTCTACACTTGATGAAATAATGGTTTTCGAAGAAAAAAAGATGATCCTGCAGTACAATAATTAGATTACTACAGGAATCTTAGCTTTCCATAAATTCCGTTGATGAAACCCAATCAACACAGCTGTCTGGGACATGAAGCTTAAACTGCCACTGCCGGATAGCTTCCATACCAGTCTTTTGTTGTTCTCTTTCTGTTTCGGTACACGATTCTTCGCTTTCTACTCCGATGTTACCAATCTCAGCCAATCTGGCCTTGTAATTTACGAAATCTCTCAAAATAAGCAACACTCCCCAATATGTCTCTCTCCTCTCATAGATCATACTGTCACTATGGGTAGTTTGTTTGTCGCCCCGATGTTTTAGAATCTCCACTAAACCATACCCATTTGCGTTCTGCCAAAACTCGTATACGCATCCACCAGAGAAGACGCGGCTCATTGAAGGCGAGTACAAAACAGTTGTTTCGTGAAAGATGCGAGGTTTTTGAGTGTTGTTGCCATATTCTGACAGGAATATTGGTATGGAGGTACCGTTGAATCTGTGAAGCTACCCGAAAGGGTCAGACGGTACGAACGATATCAGGATAGTTAAGGCTTACCAAGTCGTTATGTACGGCTCGAATCACATCTGGAAGCTCCTTCAAGTTGAAGTTCTTGCACTATCGTGCGCATTAGTGTTGAGCATTTCTTCAACTCACGAAAAAGCACTCACTGTCCAGAAATCAATTGAGGTCTCATGCTCACCAGCGGTCAGATACTCCAGCACTTCCTGGTCTCTAGCACCGCTTGTGGCCGCGTTGTATCCGATAGGGAGCATGCGTTGTCCAAGGGCTTCGTTTTGGAGCTTCATGTGTATCTTCAGATCTCGCACGACGGCTTTGAGAACAGCTGCTACGGGTAGCGTGGCATCATTGTTGATCAGTTCGTTACCAGCTAGTATACCCAGAGTATTTGGAAAGCTAGCTATTATGTCAACTGTCCTGAAAAATGATGCCACGGTGTCGGGGTTGTAAGACTTGGTTGGGGCCAGACGGTCAATGGAATTCGATGGTGTTGAGACACTCTTGATGGGAGCGTGTATGGTCAGTTTAGTATGTACGTATCGAAATAAGACTATACGCACTATGAGTACGTATATCCCGGCTTCTTCAAGTAATTTCATAGCCTTCGTATGGTCTTTTGTATTATCGATAAAATCTTAACATCAAAATGAGCTTTGTTATAACTTGACTCGCTGCTGTACATATAAACAAAGAGTGTGTTCAAGCTAAGCTCCTTGAAGAGAAGAACATCTTCTCGGAGTTCCGCGAGGCGCTTATCTGAGATGGGGTCAAGTGTAGAACGCACTTGGTATGCAATACCTCTTACGAAAAACTTTATCCTTAGTATCAGACTGAGTGATATCGAGTGTCGACAAGCCGAGACTTACTCGATAATTACTTTTCCAGAAGAAACGCCCGCGAATGCGTATAGCAGAACAGGAGATACTGGCGATCATATTCAATAGATGTTCGCCGGTTAGCCACATCGAAACTACTTGATTAGAGTGGTTGAAACCGAATCTAACACACTACAACTCAGCTCGGTCTTACAAATCGTCTTGGGTGCATGTATTACGGGACAAGGCGGAATGACCCGATGACCAAAGGGATATATGGGTGAGAACAAGGCACGACAGCCAGCGGTGTATGGATATAAAGGGGATGCGAAGAGCTGCTTACTGTGCACTAGGTGTTGTTTCCTTGTGACGTCATGAATACTGCTTATAATATGACACATCTTTCGTGCGTAACTCAGAATTCAAATAAATCATGAGCTATGCCTCGTCTACACTATACAACGCCAGATCGGCAAATCAAGCCGCTCATGTACCACGCGCCCGAAAACATGAAAGTATACCTTTTTCTCAATCTACAGTACAGTTCATGGCTTCGAACTTGCTCACTTTCTTCGAATTAAGTCGAATATTTCATCCTCGTCTTTAAGTCAATAACTGCTTGAACAACTATAGAATATAGATTTTCAAGGTATACTAAGTTCTGCATGAGAAGTTTGGTAGGCTCACTTTCGCCCCGCACTAAAAATATACCCCTTGACCGCTAACTCTGCATTGGGTGTTGCAAGCTCGGGGCTTATTTACCCGCTCATGGCTGCCTGGCACATGACTCAGGTGCTTGCGCCCTTTGTATGTGGGTCAAATCCCGTGACGACAGCTTTATGAATGTCTCACACCCAAGTATCTAGATTTTAAGAAGAAGATATTTCCTACTCATCAGATTAGAGTCTGACCATTTCATACACCCAATATGCCATTAGAAGTCCACCGCATCACGTCGCCAGACGACTTCGAAACTTTTGCAAAAATCCAGGTTGCTGCCTTCGCAAGTGGGGGCGGCATAGCCTCTTTGCTCAATCCCGAACCCGTCACTGATGAATACATCAAGAAATACACCGAAAGGCACCTCAAATCCTGGCGCGATGAGCACGATGTTGTCTATCTCAAAGTGGTGGATACGGATATCGACGGCGGCAAGATGATTGCTGGTGCAAAGTGGCGCATTACCGAGAAGGAGAAGACGGAAGAGGAGGCACAAAAGATGTACCCGAAGCCTGAAGGGGATGATCTGAATAACCAGGCGCTAGTAGATTTCCTGGCCTTTTTGTATAGGGCAAGGAAACAATATGTGAACACCAAACCTATTTGCTGTACGTCTTCATCTATCGCAAGGTCAAGAGAAACTACACTAAGTAATCCCAACCAGTCCTTCAAATTCTTATAACAGACCCGGAGCATCACCGCAGAGGCGCAGGGTCTCTACTGCTGAAATGGGGTCTCAGCAAAGCTGACGAACTCGGTCTTCAGGGGTTCTTGGAGGCGTCACCTATGGGTAAGCCGCTGTATGAGAGGATGGGGTTTAAGACTCAGGAAACCGCGGTATTTGATCTGACGAAGTACGGGGGGGAGGGTGAAGACGCAAACACGATCATGATCAGGGAACCGTCACCGAAGGCGTAAGATGATGATGCGGCGGATACTGTAAATTGTTCGCTAGAGGTTCTGTTACACTGACGTGCAATCATCAAGCCTCTATAATGAAAACCATACATAAAATGGGGGCTCATTATTACAAGAGCTGTTATCCATCCGGCCATGCGCTCCGGAAACGCAGATTCTCTCGTCTCTCCTGTAGTTTCTCGAGTCTCTTGGTGAACTTCCAAAACCAGGTTTTTTGATCGGGCGGCGTCAAGCGTCCGATATTGTTTACCTGAATCTCGGACAGTTCTCTCATAGCCTCAAGCGCACGAAGGAACTGCTCCACTGTCTCCTTGCTCTCCGTATACTCTTCTCCGATACACAGAGGCTCTATCAGAAAAAGGGACTTGATCTCCGACGCTGCTTTTCCCGCCAAAGAGAAAAAAAGGACAGCACTGTGAATGCCAAGAAACCCAAGCTGAAGTGTTGCGCACAGGTAGGAAAGCGTTTCAGCACGGATTTGGCGACACGTACGAAAGATGGGGAGGTGAAGAATCGTTGCGCCGAAATGTTCGGGCTTGGTGCAGTTTGCTACGAAAATGGAGGATAGGTCGGGGTAGATGCTGTAGGCGTATATTTGGTTGCGTAGCTCGCCTGGTAGATCTAGGAATGTGGCTCGGGCCGCTCTAGGCTTCAGCACGATTAGCAGTCTGCACGCATACGCATCTGGTGCACCGTACATTTTGAGGCCCTGTTCTTTCTTCACTGCGTTTGCTTTGAAGCCATTTCTTGATTTTCATTTTTGCTGGTTATGGTGGAATGGCCCTGGCGTGGCTCTCATTATAAGGGTGCCGGAAGTGGGCGCTTTGCCCAATTAGGACGGTTGCCTTAATCATCACCCAAGGTTCAGTAGTGGAAGGCGATGCAAGATCTCATCCATGATAACTATATCACGAACTTCTTTATATAGCTGAGCTTTACCAGTCTTTGCGGAATCGAGGGCTCATATTCAGTATTCATCCTACAGTTCTCCTTAGCCTGATGTCTCGTGTTCACCTGCGATATCTTAGGATCGACTCGTAAGCCACGGTTACATCTCTCATGCGTTCGTAGTATCTTAGTTCACGAATCTGTGATCTTTTTTTAAAAAAAATAAAACAAAAAACTGTGTTGAAGAAGTCCATGTACCCCAGAGAGTCATCAATACTCATTCATCCTCATCCTCCTTTTTCCGCTGACGATTAAGCTCATCAATCACTTTCTTGCCACATGCCAGTACCTCCATTGTCCGACTCTTATTGTCATGGTCCCTCGTCTCAGGAACCAAGAAGTAAGTTGTCACTGCTCCAGCAAGCATGAACGCACTCATGACCTGCAGAACGTGTCCGAAATCCCGACGCTCCTCCCACTTGAGGTTGCCTCCGCTGCCGTCTCTGCCAGTTTGGAAGGCATATGCGATGAAGATTTGCACAACCCACGAGCCCAACTTTCCAGCGGCTGCAGCTATGCCGTGACATGTACACCGGTATCTTGTCGGAAATATCTCGGCAGGGATTATGAACGTGGTCACGTTTGGTCCGAGGTTGAAGGCAATGTGACTCAGCACATAAAGAATGATGAGTCCGGATCGGCTGTTGTCCAAAAGAGTTGTCCATGCGCTTCCAGTAACGATGAAGAGTACGAAAAGCACGGCAAAGCCCCAAAACTGGATGACTTTTGGCGAGACGTACTTGACGATCTTGATCATCAAAAGGCCACCAACGACAGTGCCGATGGAAACCATGACCAAAGTGTGCTTGCTGTTGCCGCTCAGGGTGGCATATACTGATTGCTTTTGATCGGGGTTTTCTTCCCATATGTGGCTGACGATTTTCGGCGATGAGAGACCTAATCCGTAAACTGACATAACGTTAGTAGCGGTTTAAATGCGCTATTTTGGCCTACTTACATGCGAAGTCAAGGAAAAGCCAGGCCAAAGATGTCCCTAAAAGGTAATGCCAGTTCTTCTCTGTGATGAAGAAGTTTCTGGCGTCTGCCCACGAAGCAAGTGGAGGAACGAAGTCAGGGTCACCGGGTAATGGCTGTACCGACTGAGTCTCGTGCGGACAATTCCCCTCATTGCTGTTACGGTGCTCAGACTCGTCATCGCTGTAGACGATCTCATCGGGCGGTATGCCCGAGGAGGTAGATGAACGCCGGGACATTGGCCTGGCTGGAGCTGAAGGTTGCACAATGCCCCGCATCTCTGCCTCACCATTCTCCGGGTTAAACTCAGGCGCACCAAAATAGTTTGCGGTATCTTCAAGAGTCTCCTTAGTATTCTGTAATATGTCCAGGGTATACCTTGGGCTTTCGGGGATCGTGAACCGGAAAGCAAGAGCGATGGTGGCTGGTATAACGCCGATACCTATGACCAACCTCCAAAGTCTATCGATTGCGCGGAAACATTTCAAGTCGTCATCCCGGCATGCTGGTAGTTCTTTCTCAATCCAAGGTTTGTAAGCTTCTACTGCTGCTAGCGATAAAACATTGGCGAGCAGTTGTCCTACAGGTTGAGCGAAGAAAACCCAGCTCAACATGCGCGCGCGGTGTTTTCGAGGCGCAAACTCCGCCGTGATAACCTGGTATCGCAATCAATATATATTCGTCTAAAAGAAAAGACAGTACTGTACCGCACTTAATGGATAATCAGCACCGATGCCAACCCCTACCTGGTGTCAGTGTACTCGATTTTGCGTTAACAAGGTGTCTGCGTACCCATGATTGCCCTCCAGGTGATCAACCACCCCCCAATTGCCATACTATTTTTCTCACCGTTGGAGCTCATCAACAGGAGCATGGTACCGACTATGATAATCACCAACTCGAGTCCGTACATTTTACGTCTTCCAAGAAAGTCTGCGGCAACGCCGAATCCTATCTGTCCGAGCATGGTAGCAGCAAGTGTTGAACACATCATGGCAGTCTTAACTTCTGATGGTACATTTGGCATACCGTTGTCGAGGTTTTGTGGCCAGTACACATAGCCTAGCATTGGGGTGACAACATTCAGGGCGAATAGGCCGAATGCGTCGGTCAAGAAGCCTATGCCCGCGACCACGACCACCCAGATCTGGAAGGGCGCGGCATCGATTGTGGCCAGTGTCCATCGCCGCCGCCTTGTTTCCTTGCAGAAACATCAGTTGGATGAACGAGATAGTTCGACTTCACATCAAGACTTACAGGGATACCACTGCCTCCAGCTGTGAGGTCCTCCACACCGATTTGACGACCTTTGATTGGTCGCGTAATCCAATTGCGAAGACCCATGGTCACGTGGAGATGATCTCCAAGAAGAGGGTCTCACTATTCAAGTGCGTCAAAACTATTCAAGTGTGTCAGATAAAGAAAAGATCAGTTGTATGTTGCATCTGCAGCAAGTTCGGCTCACGACTGCCTTAATCATATCACAGATGAGCAAAGCCTCAGCCACATTTACAGAGCATGCTGCACACAAATGGCTGAATGTATGCACTGCCCCATTTAACAAGGCAGACCGGTCAACGAAAAGATAGCTACGTGGACCGGCACTCTTCTCTCAGTTGCTACACTGGCGAACAACCCGTTCCCGCTCGCCGAAGTCAGACTTGGTGGCGTTCATGGCTGTATCGAATCACACTTAGCACTTGATTGAGAAGGCTAGGGTTCAGCGGTCACCATGAATGGAAAGGTGTAGCGTTGCCTGCATTGCCTTCACACTCGACACGGAGGCGGCTCCAGCAGTGTTGGATTGGTGAAGCTCAGGGCAAAGGGGCCAGGCAGATACGACTATTCCGCAAACCAGTCTCATGGAAACAGAACCCAGCACATGCATTTTCGTGGGAAAGCCACGCTGTTCCGGGTAATGAGGGCGCGAGGTTGGGATGGTCGACGATAGCCGTTCGCTTCCCCACGTGTTGTTGTTGGACGTCTCATTGAACGTTGGGCGTCCAGCCTCGGTAGCGCCACATGTATCAACACGACCTCCTCCGTCCCCTGACCAGTTCACAATGGGCAGTCTTGTCATCCCGTCTTGCAAGGCTTCCACAAGCGTGTGCCTGGCCCATAATCGGTCGGCAATCAATATGCTGAGCCACCCCCATATGCCGCAACGGCCTCGCTTTGGGACAGCCTGGACCCGCGCGTGCTCACAAGACGGGCGCAAGCTCAGGCGACACTGCCTACAACACTGTCACCCTCTTCTGAGAGCCTTGCACTTCCTCCACGTTGCACTCTACTGAATACGAAAAGTTACATGTGCATGAGCAAACCCTACACTGTTGGTGTTGCGCTCCAGCGCGGCGCAAGACGACCACCATGTCTTTCGGATGTAGCCCATCAGATGTGTTGAAACTACTCGAGTTCTCCACTCGGGTATACCTTGCTTTCAGAGGTACGTCGCTTACCAAAATTGCATGACAAAGCTCAGGATACTGACCCACGCCGAGATGCCAACGAGAATTCGGAAGCACAGGTGGCAGGCCTGGTGAAGGAATTCACTGCCTTTCATACCTGCTTGGTCGAGCTGGGTGAGTTGATGAAGCAGTATGGCCAACCCATGCCTTTTCCCGTCAAGGAGTTTGAGGCAACACTCAAGAGATGTGAAAAGACGCTCGACCCATATGCAGATCACTTGGTCGACAAGAAGATGGGTATGAAGAAGTTCATCTTCACCATTAGATACATGGGCATGGAGAAAGAGATAGACGGGCTGAGAAAGCAAATCACTGGCCACTACCAAGCCTTGCACATGTGCATATCATTTCTACAACTGTAAGTTTCGGCGTAATATTCAAGATATTATTCCCAGGCTAACAATCCACAGTCGCTTGCACCTCGAGGCAACTAAGCAAACTCAACGTCTCCTCGATGCCGCACCACCACGTACTGTAACCCTGGGAGGCCGTGCTTACTCAACCAGTGCACTGGGATTTTCATCTCAACACGCACCTCTATCGCTACCTGCACCAGATGAGCATCCCCTTTTCAGTGAGTGGGTGATCTTTGATCGCTGGCTGCAGAGCGAGGACGAGCGCATCGCTAGAGAAGCAGAGCACGCTCGCCCGCTATCACTAGGCGATACACCTGCTGCTCTTCCAAGCGACGATGACCAGACTGCTGCTATATTATACCATCTCCGTCGACAAGTTGACGATGCTATCCTGATTGAGGAAAACCGCACAAAACGCATGACTGCTGAGAAGCGATCGCATCTTTCGCCAAGCGATGCCATACGACAGGAGGTTCGCAACATGCCACCGGCGCCTCCACGTACGTACACATTAGATACCGATCACTCTGGAAACTTTACGGGTTTTGGTCAGCATCAAATGAGCAGTTCTTCAGAAACTGCTCGGCCAATCTTGAGCATTCCGTTGTCACACTCGCCTCCAGCTGTCAGCCCGCGTGGAGATTCATACTTTGGCTCCATAGATTGGGCACAATCGCCCACGGATACATCGACCTCACATGATGTAGGCCGCACAACATCTGTTTCTACCCACAGAAGCAGCATGAGCCATTCTCCAGGATCACAGCCACGGTCTCCTAGTGCTGACCTAAGCCCTGGGGGAACTACACCAGAGACTCTAGCATCGTACAGTCTGCGACGTAGTCTATCTCGCACATCCCTAGCAACGATGGCTCTAGGCGAGGCCGCACTCGATTGGAAACGCATCTGCCGCTCCGTCGAAGTCGAGCGTAAATCCGTCAAATATGGAGCCG